TTTTCCTTGAGCTTCTTGATGAAAATTATTTTATTTACACAATCATTATTTTGTATCAATCCTTTATGAATATAAAGCAACTTTTTTGGAGTACTGGGGCTTCAACTCAGGGCCTGGACATTGTCCCTGAGATTCTTTTGTTCAAGGCTAGCACTCTACACTTGAGCCTCAGTGCCACTTCTGGCCTTTCTGTTTATGTGTACTGAAGAATTAAACCCAGGGCTTCATGGATGTTAGGCAAACACTCTACTAAACCACATTCCCAACCTCATAAACACATTTTATCAGATGCATATTTTTGTGTTTTAAGTGGGACGCTGGAACAGAACCCAAATATAGAACTGTCTGAATGTAAGGGGGAAGGGGGAGGATTGGGTGGTGGGGAGGTAGAGGGGAGGTAGGGAAGAGATGTGAAGGGTAAACAAAGGAGGAGGCTGCAATGCTTGATAAGAAATGTATGCATTATCCTATCCATGTAATTGTAACCCCTCTGTACAGTATGTTCACAAAAAAATAAAATTAAATTTAAAAAAAAGAAATATGGAGCAGTATTTTTAAAACTCAGATATCCACACTAGTAAACTGGAAATCCTTGTTACATAGTGACAAAACATTTGGTTATACAGCTGTTTGCCTTACCTTAGGGAGTAAACCATGTGCCAACTGAGATCATAGAATTATAAGGCATAATAAGTAAAATTCATGATGTTTGCATATGCTGGTCTCTTTCTTGCTATTTTTAGCAAAGTCCTTGGCTGACATAGATTAACTCAGACTAGAGTTAGCCATTCCAGTACTTCTGTGAAGTGAGAAGTTGCTCTGAAGGAAGGACTCTTGTTGAAGCGTGTGATGTAAGTTGACAGAGTCTTGTGATTTGAAACTTCAGAGGAATGGAAAAGCTAAATTTGTCTATACAACCAACTTCAAGTGTTTAGTGACTGCAAAACAGCAGCTCTCTCCTCTATGTTAACATAGGATTTAGCCAGCTTATATGTTTAACGTTCAGATCTTTATCTTTTAATGTCCTTCTTGTCTTCATATACACTTTAATTACTTCATTTCATTAAACAATAGAGTTTTAAAAGAATTTTTGATAGAATTTCATTATATAACCTAGACTGATCTCAAATTGATTATCTTCCCGCCTCAATCTCCCGAGTTCTGAAATTCTAGGTTTCTGTCACCATGCTTGGCTTAAAACTATTTTTTAAAATACAGGATTTGATATGTTGCTATGGCTCATCTCAAACCTCTGATCTCCCTGCCTCAGCTTTATGAATGCTGGAAATATAGGCATGGTATTTGACACCATATCTATCCCTAAAATATTACTTTTAGTTTCCAAGTATATACGTGTGTGTGCTAACTGTATTTTATTATTCATTAAGATAGTATAATTTTGTATAAATTTCAGATTTACTGGGGATTGGATTGAGGATATAAAAGCTATGATATTTTATTCAAGGAACTTTTCTAAAATATGCTTTCTTGTTTATTTATTATTGCGAGAAATACTAGGAACATTAGCATGAAAATTGTATGATTACCAATGGTGTTTGCTCCATTTATTAATGTAGCCTATATTTTCACAGTCCCTTTATGTCTCTCAGCAGAACTTCTACTTTGTCCTCAAAATTATTACAAATTTTAGTGCTCTGAGTCTTGCAGATGTAAAATGATAATAATATTTCAATCTTTGAGGACCCCATGTCATTTTACCTACTGCTTTTAACAAAGATATATTAATTTTTGAATTGTAAAAGTTCAGTAATCATTGTAAAAATGACAATATCATTTCAAATTTGTAAGATCACAATTAATGAAGTGGAGAAATTAATATACTATCAGTTAAAATAAATGATGACTTTACTCATTACTAAAACCAAGGTAGATGTAAAAAACTACAGAATGTCAAATAAAAACAAGAATTAGTTTTTTTTTTCTTCTTGGGTATTTTATCTAAAATTTGTGATCCTAGAGGAGGTATTGTCCAGGATTTTATTATTTTTATCTAGACGGTTATGTCTTTTGTCAAGGAAATCCCATAGAAGGAGATTCTTGCTCTATAGTCTTCAGGTTTCAGGGGAAAAAAGAATTTAAAAAAAATGGTAGAGAGGTGACCACGTTTGGAAGTTCTTTCTAGGAATTTGGAATATATTCTGCAGAAAAACAATTCCCTCAAAATTGTTTAAAATTAAATATGAAATGAAATAAGCAAAACAACAATCAAGAGTTGAAATTTATTACTTCATACCATGTCCTGTAAAAATCATTTCACATAAAAATACATACTGATCCTACTGAGCTGGGAGCTGGTGGCTGACACATGTAATCTAAGCTATTGAGGAGGCTGAGAACTGAGAATCAGAGTTCTAAGCCAGCTCAGGCAGGAAAGTCATGAGAATCATATCTCCTACTAAGCACAGAAGAACCTGGAAGTGGAGTTGTGGCTCAAATAGTAGAACAGTAGCATTGAGCAAAAAGGAGCTCAGGGACAGCACACAGGCACAAATTTTGACTCAGGACCAGAAAAAAATGCATACTGAATCTATGAGAACTGCATTAAATGTAAGCATTTCTAGTTTTTTATAGTTTGCTTTTTTATTATCTTTTTATAATTTTATTTTATTTGTGAACATACTGTACAGAGGGGTTACAATTACATGGGCAGGATAATGCGTACATTTCTTACCAAGCATTGCAGCCTCCTCCTTTGGTTACCCTTCACATCCTTTCCCAGCCTCCCCCCTCCCACCCCAATCCCAATCCTTCTCCTTCCCCCCTTCCCCCCCCCCCCCCCCGCACCGACGTTGTAAAGCTCGTTTTGGACATGACAACTTGTACTTCTCATTGTTGCAACAGGTCCACCTGTATCCTTAAACAACTGGTTTTTCCCCATCTCCTCCATAAGTTATACTGACATCAAATATAGTGAAAGCAGGGGTTATACTGTGGGGGAGGGACATGCAAAGCAACAAAGAAATAATCTTATAAATGCGTTAGAAACACATGCATGAAAGAAAAAAAACATTAAGATACATATCTAAGGGTTCATTTTCCTGACATCACATTATCTGACCTTTTCCGCTTGACTCGTACATATACTAGATATTGCATGTAAGTGAAACCATGGGACCTATGTTTCTTTGGGCCTGGCTTACTTCACTTAATATAATTTTTTCCAAGTTTTTCCATTTCCTAACAAATGGGGCAATGTCATTCTTTCTGAAGGAGGCATAGAATTCCATCGTGTATAACACAGAACTTAAAAAATGGCAAAACCTCCCATGCTCCTGGATTGGAAAGATTAACATCGTGAAAATGGCAATACTTCCCAAGGCTATCTACAAAGTCAATGAAATACCTATCAAAATTCCAACCTCATTCTTCAAGGAAATAGAAGAGGCAATCCAAAAATTCATATGGAACAATAAAAGACCCCGAATAGCAAAAACGCTCCTCAACGGAAAGAACACTGCTGGAAGAATATCAATACCAAATTTCAAACTCTACTATAAAGCCATAGTAATCAAAACAGCTTGGGAGTTCCGGGAAGATGGCGGAGGAGAAGCTGGAATCTGAACAAGCTCTTGCATAGAAAACAGTTTCAGAGTTCCAGTGAACAGTCCCAAGCCAGAGAATCACACCAAGTGTGCCATCACAGGACAGAGAGTTAGTCAAGAGAGGGGAAGCCAAGCAGACACATCTGAGCAGCTGCCGCTGCGGCGGCAGGGTCGCAGCGGCGACCACCGCCGCGGAGGCATACCTGAGACGCAGTCCGGGACGAAGGAGCCAGACACAGCAGACAAGCGGATTCTACTCAACACCAGCAAGAACCGACAAGGAGCGGACAACTTCATCCTGCACTTTGCAGACCAGAGACGACCCGGGATCCAAGAATCGGCGTGAGTAGAAGCCCCACTTCCTCACTCCTTCTCTGGGAGCAGAGGAGGGAAGGCCACCCCTCCCCCCCAGCACCGGTGATCTCCATCTTGGATACCGACAAAGCTCGGAGGAGCGGCTAGCTCCAGCTCAGGCCTTGGAATAGAGCTAGTCATTTGGCAGGTCACGGGAACTTGGCGGCGAGGTGACCTCACAGACTCAATTCCATCCAGGGAGGGGTCGCCCAGCTCAGGCACCAGCCATTGGAGTGGCTCTCCTCGCTGGGTGGCCAGAGCCAGAGGCTGCCCCTCCCTCTAGCAGCCACCACAATCAATTGAAAAACAGAAACCCTGAGAATGGCTCCAGGCTGGGTGCTGTGAGTTTTTTTTCACAAAATAGCCCCAGGGAAAAGCTACTGTTCGTTGAAAGGCCTCAACTCTACCCAGAACCTAGAATCATCACTGCATCCCCCTCTTTTGTGATTCTCAAAGCAGATCACCCTCCCAGTAAACTAACCTGGGAGGGGGATCTCAAAATCTTTGGTAAAGCAGAGCATTTTTCTGCCTGTTCCAACAAACTGACTTAAGAAACCAATCAAGTCACAGGACCTCAAGCTGACCAGAGACTCCAACCAGACTCTGGTTACAGACAAAAGGGAGATACAGGATTCTTCCCACCCCTCCCAAAAAAAAAAAAAAAATCAAAGAACTTTTTTTTTCTTCTTCTTTTCTTTTTTTCTTTTTCTTGTTTTGTTTTTTTTCGTTTTTTGTTACCTTATATATATATAAAATTTTTTTTTGCTTTTCTAAAACTTTTATTAATCTTTAATTTTTGCCTCTTCTGAAAAAATAATTGTTTTCCATTAACTTTTTTTTTTTCTCCTCTTATAATTTTTATTTTAGGAATACGTGAATGTGTGTTTTCTTTTCTTTTCTTGTCTTCTTTCTCTGTTTCTTTCATTCTTAATTATCTTTTTGTTTTTTTTCTAGCTCTACTGAACTTCTGATCTTTACTTCTCACTTTCCTATCCTTTCCATCTTTTCCTCTTTGTTCATCTTTATGTGACTTAAGTCTTGTCCTGCACATCCTCAGATAAACCCGTAGTTAACCAGTAGACCCTATCCCCCATTGTGTACACACTTAATCCACAAACTTATTACTCAATTCAAAACCTCTGAGACTTAAATTCATTAATAGCAGTACTACCTCTTTATACCTATATAATATTTTATGCATTTTTTTAAAGTTTTTCTCATCTCCTCTATGTCCCTCCCTTTCTCTCAACATATTCATATTCCTCTATAAATAGATGGTCTTTTAATCTCTAAAATAACATTAATTTTTACGTTTCTATTTTTTTTTCTGGTCTCTTTTCATTCCCCTTTCCCTTTCTTCTTTTTCTCTCTCTCTCTACTTACATCCTACCCAACCTATTTCCTGCAGTGTGATTAGGACATAGTTAACTCTCCCTGTGCCTCCCCACACCAATCTATTCCTATTTTTTACCCACATCTCTCCCTAACCCTAATAATTTCTGGTTTTCCAAATTCTTCTCTGCGGTTCGAAGTCCTTTAACATATAGTTGTTTGATGTCGAATAGATGTATCTGTTGAACTAGATTGTATCTGTAGACTATTGACTGTACAAATGCAAACTTTGGTTGATGGTTGCCTTAAGATAGTGTTCTAGCACAAAAGTGGTGCTATCTTCATCTCAAATGGGCAGAGTAAGCCGGAAAAACACAAGAAAAATGGCAAATTCGGGTATCTCAATTCCCAATCCTGATAATCAGGGGTTAGAACAGATAATGAATAATCCAGAGGAGAGTTCCCAAACAGCTCTACAAACACTGGTGGCAAACATGATAAATGAAAAGTTTGACAACGTACAAAGGACTCTGTATGAGCGTGATAGGGAGAGAGAGGAGGCATCCCAGAAGTTTATACAGGAATATCATAAGCGTGAGAAAGCTACTCAAAAACTGATACAGGATTGGCGTGAACAACTTGAGAATACTCAAAGAGAAAGGGAGGAATGGCGTGAGCAGGCTGAGAACACTCAAAGAGATCTGCAGGAATCCCACGAACGGGAGGAAGCTAATCAAAGAGTAATACAGGAATTGAGAGACCAGGTAGAGAACACACAAAGATCACTAAAGGCATTCATGGAATCCATTAACAAAGAGCTGAAGGAAGTCAGGGAGACCACAAAGGGAATGCTGAATGGAACCCAACAGAAGGAATGGGAGCCCAAAGAAACCATAACCAATCAACTAAGTGATTTGAGGACAAACACTGAACACCAAATTAAGGAAGTAAAGAAATTCATACAAGACCTAAACCAGAGCTTCAACAAAGAACTTGAAGCCATCAAAGCTGACCAACTAGAAGGAAAAGAGATAAAAAACAAAGTAGAGAGTCTTGACAGCAGGTTAGAACATGCAGAAGATCGAATCTCAGGGATTGAAGACAGCCTAGATATTATAGAGAAAGAACATACAACCATCCAAGACAAGTCCAAGAAATATGATAGATCTATCCAACACCTGGAAGACACCATCAGAAGGCCTAATCTAAGGATAATGGGTGTAGAGGAGCACCTAGAAACAGAAGTTAATGGTCTAGGAAATCTGTTTAACAGGATCCTAGCAGAGAACTTCCCAAACATGCAAAAAGATAGGCCTGTTCAGATACAAGAAGCCTTTAGAACCTCAAATAGACCAGACCAGAATAGGACATCCCACCGTCACATTATAATCCACACAGGATCAACTCAGAACAAGGAAAAGATCCTTAAAGCTGTCAGAGAGAAAAGGGTAATCACTTATAAAGGGAAACCAATTAGAATCACCTCAGATTTCTCAGCAGAGACAATCAAAGCAAGAAGAGCCTGGAATGATGTATGCCATGCCCTAAAAACAAACAACTATCAACCAAGAATACTGTACCCAGCTAAACTCTCCTTCATAACTGAAGGCCAAATAAAAACCTTCCATAGCAAAGAAAAATTGAAACAATACATCTCCACCAAACCAGCAATACAAAAGATTCTTAAAGATGTCCTACACATAGAAAACCAACAAGACCGCAATAAAGGCCAAGAAACTGCACCCAAACTGAGAATCCAAGAACTATAGGAAGAACCCAGTTTTCGCAGCCCCCAAGAAGGTAGATAACATGGCAGGAACTCCCAAATACCTCTCAGTCCTATCTCTTAATGTTAACGGACTGAACTCTCCAATTAAGCGACATAGACTGTCTAGTTGGATTAAAAAACAAGACCCTTCTATCTGCTGCCTGCAGGAGTCACATCTTGCCCGTAAAAACAAACACATTTTCAATGTTAAAGGCTGGAACAAAATCTACCAAGCAAACGGACCGCATAAACAGGCGGGAGTTGCAATCCTAATATCAGATAAAATAGACTTCAAATTAAAATTCGTGAAAAGAGATAAAGAAGGTCGCTACATACTAATTAAAGGATCTCTCCTTCAGGAGGATTTTACAATTCTAAATATCTATTCGCCAAACAATGGAGCACCCAAATTTATCAAAGAAACACTACTTTCCCTCAAATCCCATATAGATCCAAAGACATTAATTGTTGGGGATTTTAACACACCACTCTCCCCACTAGATAGATCAACTCGGCAAAAACTCAACAGAGAAACCGCAGATCTAAACAGCTGCATAGATCAACTAGACTTAACAGACATTTACCGAACATTTCACCCAGCAGCATCAGAATACACGTTTTTCTCAGCAGCACATGGAACGTTTTCTAAAATAGACCACATTTTAGGCCACAAAGCAAACTTGTCTAAATTCAGAAACATTGAAGTTATACCTTGCATTCTCTCTGACCACAAGGGAATAAAGTTAGAACTCAACACCAAAAGCCACCAAAGAAAGTCCGGTATCACATGGAGGCTGAACAACACACTGCTGAATCATGAGTGGGTCATGGAAGAGATTAGAAAGGAAATTCAAATGTTCATGCTATTCAACAAAAATGAACACACAAAATACCAGCTCCTCTGGGACACAGCAAAGGCAGTACTCAGAGGCAAGTTTATAGCTCTGAGCTCCTACATCAACAAATTGGAGAGATCTGAAACTAACAATTTAATGACACATCTAAACCTCCTTGAAAAAGAGCAGCAAGATAAACCCCAATCCAGTAGACGGAAAGAAATAATCAAAATTAAATCAGAATTAAATGAATTAGAATCCAAAAAAACTATAGAAAGAATCAACAAAACAAAGAGTTGGTTCTTTGAAAAACTTAACAAAATTGACAGACCCTTAGCAAATCTTATCAGAAAAAGAAGAGAACACACCCAAATTAATAAACTCAGAGATGAGCATGGAAACATCACCACGGAAACAACCAAGATTCAGAACATTATAAGGGAATACTTCTCAAAACTTTATGCTAATAAGTTTGAGAACTTGACAGAAATGGACCTCTTCCTAGCAAATATTGACATGCCAAAACTAAACCAAGATGAGGTAAACTATCTTAACAGGCCCATATCAAGCATTGAAATAGAAACAGCAATAAGAGACCTCCCAGCTAAGAAAAGTCCAGGACCAGATGGTTTTACAGCGGAATTTTACAAGGCCTTCAAAGCAGAGCTCACACCAATTCTCCTCCAACTCTTCAATGAAATTGAAAGAGAAAGCTCACTACCGAACACATTCTATGAAGCCATCATAACCCTCATCCCAAAACCAGGCAGTGACCCATCAAAGAAAGAGAACTATAGACCCATTTCTTTGATGAACATTGATGCAAAACTTCTCAACAAAATTTTGGCCAACCGACTTCAACAATTCATCCAAAAAATCATACACCACGATCAAACAGGATTCATTTCAGGGATGCAAAGCTGGTTCAATATACGCAAATCAATTAATATTATTCATCACATCAACAGGAGCAAGAATAAGAACCACATGGTTATCTCAATAGACGCAGAAAAAGCATTCGACAAGATCCAACACCCTTTATGATGAAGGTTTTGGAAAAATTAGGAATCCATGGAACATTCCTCAATACAATAAAGGCTGTATATGACAAACCTACAGCCAGCATTATACTCAATGGTGAAAAACTAAAGCCATTTCCTCTTAACTCAGGAACAAGACAAGGATGCCCACTCTCTCCACTTCTCTTCAATCTAGTATTAGAATGCCTAGCTACAGCCATAAGACAAGATGCAGACATAAAGGGGATCCAAATAGGGAAAGAAGAAATAAAACTCTCCCTCTTTGCAGATGACATAATCTTGTATTTAAAGAATCCCATAGACTCCACTCCCAAATTACTCAAGCTGATTCAAAACTTTGGCAAAGTAGCAGGTTATAAAATTAACCCCCCAAAATCAATGGGTTTTCTGTATGCCAACAATGAGAAAACTGTGGCTGAAATTAGGAAAGCAACTCCATTTGTAATAGCCCCACAAAAAATAAAATACCTAGGAATTAACTTAACTAAAGAAGTGAAGGACCTCTATGATGAAAACTTTAAAATCTTGAAAAAGGAAATCAACACAGAACTTAAAAAATGGCAAAACCTCCCATGCTCCTGGATTGGAAAGATTAACATCGTGAAAATGGCAATACTTCCCAAGGCTATCTACAAATTCAACGCAATACCTATCAAAATTCCACCCTCATTCTTCAAGGAAATAGAAGAGGCAATCCAAAAATTCATATGGAACAATAAAAGACCCCGAATAGCAAAAACGCTCCTCAACGGAAAGAACACTGCTGGAGGAATATCAATACCAAATTTCAAACTCTACTATAAAGCCATAGTAATCAAAACAGCTTGGTATTGGCATAAGAACAGACCTCAGGACCAATGGAATAGAATTGAAAACCCAGAAATGAACCTACAGACCTATAGCCATCTAATCTTCGATAAGGGAGCTAAAACAATAGAATGGAAGACAGACAGCCTCTTCAGTAAATGGTGCTGGCAAAACTGGTTAACTACATGTAGAAAACTAAAGCTAGATCCTTATATATCACCCTGCACCAGAATCAACTCCAAACGGATCAAAGACCTTGAACTCAAAGCAGACACTCTGAAAACATTACAGGATGGAATAGGAGAAACCCTGGGTCTCCTTGGCTTAGGCCGAAATTTTCTGAATAGAGACCCGGAAACACAACAAATCAAAGAAAGGCTGGACAAATGGGATTGTATAAGGTTGCAGAGCTTCTGCAGGGCAAAGGACATAGCTAGCAAGATCAATAGAAAGCCCACGAACTGGGAGAAGATCTTTACTAGCCATACAACGGACAAGGGTCTCATATCTAAAATATACTCGGAACTCAAAAAATTAAACCACCCAACAACAAATCCTCAAAGAAACAACTGCCCAATAAGTAAGTGGGCGAAAGACTTAAAGAGAAGCTTCTCTGAAGAAGAAAGAAGGATGGCCAATAGACACATGAAAAAATGTTCAACATCCCTAGCCATAAAAGAAATGCAAATCAAAACAACATTGAGATATCACCTCACTCCAGTTAGAACAGCAAAAATCAAGAACTCTAGCAACAACAGATGTTGGAGGGGATGTGGACAGAAAGGAACCTTACTTCATTGTTGGTGGGAATGTAAACTTGTTCAACCACTTTGGAAAGCAGTATGGAGGTTCCTCAAAAGACTCCACATAGAGCTCCCCAATGACCCAGCAATCCCACTTTTGGGCATTTACCCAAATGATCACAAACAAGGCCACACTAAAGCTTCCAGCACAACTATGTTTATTGCAGCATTATTTACCATAGCTAAGACATGGAACCAACCCAGATGCCCCTCAATAGATGAATGCATCAAGAAGATGTGGTATATATACACAATGGAATTCTATGCCTCCATCAGAAAGAATGACATTTCCCCATTTATTAGGAAATGGAAAGGCTTGGAAAAAATTATATTAAGTGAAGTAAGCCAGGCCCAAAGAAACATAGGTCCCATAGTTTCCCTTATTTGCAATATCGAGTATAGGTATGAGTCAAGCGGAAAAAGTCAGATAATGTGATGTTAGGAAAACGAAACCTCAAATATGTATTTTAATGTTTTGGTTTCTTTCATGCATGTGTTTCTGACGCATTTATAAGATTATTTCTTTGTTGCTTTGTATGTCCCTCCCCCACAGTGTAACCCCCGCTTTCACTATATTTGATGTCAGTATAACTTGTGGAGGAGATGGGGACAAACAAGTCATTTAAGGATTCAGGTGGACCTGTTGCTACAATGAGAAGTACAAAATGTCATGTCAAAACCAGCTTTACAATGTCGGTGGGGGGGGGAATGGGGGGTATGATTGGGTGGGGGGGAGGGGGGAGGCTGGGAAGGGAGGTGAAGGGTAAACAAAGGAGGAGGCTGCAATGCTTGGTAAGAAATGTATGCATTATCCTGCCCATGTAATTGTAACCCCTCTGTACAGTATGTTCTCAAATAAAATAAAATTAAATTAAAAAAAAAAAAAAAAAAGCTTTGTATTGGCATAAGAACAGACCTCAGGACCAATGGAATAGAATTGAAAACCCAGAAATGAACCTACAGACCTATAGCCATCTAATCTTCGATAAAGGAGCTAAAACAATAGAATGGAACAAAGACAGCCTCTTCAATAAATGGTAGTGGCAAAATTGGTTAACTACTTGTAGAAAAGTAAACCTAGGTCCTTATATATCACCCTGCACCAGAATCAACTCCAAATGGATCAAAGACCTCTAAGTCAAAGCAGACACTCTGAAAACATTATACGATGGAATAGGAGAAACCCTAGGTCTCCTTGGCTCAGGCAGAAATTTTCTGAATAGAGACCCGGAAACACAACAAATCAAAGAAAGTTTGGACAAATGGGATTGCATAAAGTTGCAGAGCTTCTGCAGGGCAAATGACATAGCTAGCAAGATCAATAGAAAGCCCACGGATTGGGAGAAGATCTTTACTAGCCATACAACGGACAAGGGTCTCATATTTAAAATATACTTGGAACTCAAAAAATTAAACCCCCCAACAACAAATCCTCAAAGAAACAACTGCCCAATAAATAAGTGGGCGAAAGACTTAAAGAGAAACTTCTCTGAAGAAGAAAGAAGGATGGCCTATAGACACATGAAGAAATGTTCAACATCCCTAGCCATAAAAGAAATGCAAATCAAAACAACATTGAGATATCACCTCACTCCAGTTAGAGCGGCAAAAATCAAGAACTCTAACAACAACAGATGCTGGAGGGGATGTGGACAGAAAGGAACCTTACTTCATTGTTGGTGAGAATGTAAACTTGTTCAACCACTTTGGAAAGCAGTATGGAGGTTCCTCAAAAGACTTCATATAGAACTCCCCTATGACCCAGCAATCCCACTTTTGGGTATTTACCTAAATGTTTACAAACAAAACCACACTAACGCTACCAGCACAACTATGTTTATTGCAGCATTATTTACCATAGCTAAGATATGGAACCAACCCAGATGCCCCTCAGTAGATGAATGGATCAAGAAAATGTGGTATATATACACAATGGAATTTTATTATCTTTAAATACTGTACAAAGGAGTTTCCATTAAACACATCAGTTTTTGAATGAAATGCATCTTGACTGATACTATTACTTATTCTTTTCCCCTTCCCTCCTTTCCCTTCCCCACCTTTCACTTTTCTTAATTTTGTAGAACATGCATTCAATATTATGACTTTATTTCCTGCCTCCAGCTCTTTATTTGCCAACCACTCACTTTTGATGTTTCCTCCAACTTTAGCATGGCTACTTCCTGACATTCATTTTATGGGGCTGCATAGTCATTGCTGCTGTACTCCCAATAGCCAAGGTATGGAAGCAGACTAGTAGCCTTTCAATAGACAAATGGACCAATAAAATGTAGTATATACTCAATGGGATTTTACTCATTTATTATGTAGAATATTACATCATGTGAGGAAATGGTGCTGTGGCTCAAGCAAAGAGCATTCACCTTGAGCTCAAGAGCTGAGGGATAGCTCCCAAGCCCAGAGTTCAAGCCCCACGACTGAAAAAAAAAATATTACATCACGTGAATAGAAATGGACAGACTTGGAAAAAATCATGAAGTCAGACCCAAATAAACAAAGGAAAAATGTTTTCTCTCATAAATGGAAGCTAGAACTAATTTATAAGTATACTGGTAAATACATTGGGGTTGTATGCAGATATGCTCAAATGTATTAACTAAAATATTGTACTTTCAAGCAAGAATTCAAATGGTTTCATACCTTAACAAGTATAAATCAGAACATTTTTCAACTTTTACAGAACACTCCCATCTGGATGACTTATGTCCCCACCTTACCCAATTCCACATACCTTTAACTTTACAAGATTTTACAAAATATATTGCTGACAGGCACTGAGAAGAATTGTCACCAAAGGCTTTTGGTAGTCAATTATCATTTATAATTTGATTTCTCAATAGAAACTCCCCTGTACTCCAGTGTTGCTTTTACAATTCACTAACAGGACTCAAAAATTGCAGGTGATGATGAGTCAGAGGTAAATCCATGATAAAATACTATTAAAATATCTTGCAAAGAAAATTTTGATATCAGTTTTTTTTTCCTTTGAATAAGTAGTTTCAAAATGAGGAATGGAAAATAATTTCAAACTTATTTTCTTTCTTAGCCTTGCAGATGGATATGTAGTTCTGAGAATAGAACTAACACTGTTACAGGTACTTATACAATATGAACAACAATTTCTACTGAACTATTGACATTTGTTTGCGAAACAGAGCTTAAAGAAGCTCTTTTGCCCATTTCAAATCTTATCAACTATGTATTTGTGGGATTAGTGTTCATCTGGGTATTTTCTAAATACACCATATATCTATAATGAAAATATTGTAATTATACAGTTGGATAATAGAAAATACAGTGAGACTTTGAGTACGGTTTTAAAAGACACAATTAAGTTATGCAAACAGTTCTTCCAGGCTTACACTTCACCAAATATAATTTAGTACATGTATTTCCTTGCTATTTTCCCAAGTCATCTCATCGAATATAATATTATATAGATTTCAGTAATTAGGTCACAGGAAGCCAGAAGGGAGACCCAATATTAGAGATAAGTTTACATAGAAAAGAAGATTGTCTTGCACACTATGACATTTAGGAAAATACAAAGCCTCTTTTTCTTAATTCATTAAAACACTTCAGCTTTTGTCATGTGACTAGAGTAAAGCTGATTTCAGTGGGGCATGTACTCTCCATTATAATACCATAAATAAAATACATTTTTGGGTGCTTCTTTTTTTATTCCATGACATGAACTTCTGAAGTGCCCTTTCTAAATCTAAAAAATAATATTGGAAATAATAATAGTATGTAAGGGAAATAACTAAGTGCATTCTTTTCAGGTTATCTGGGTTAACTTTCTGACAAATAAAGAAAGAGATTGCCTATTCTTATTGTTCCCCTATCCCAAATGCTGGTATATAAAAACTTTCTAAAGAGGCTCTGTGTTGTAGACTTTACTCTAATTTCTCTTTTGTCTTCCATTTTTCCTTGCTTGCAAACAGAACAAACATTATTTCCCTGCATCTTACATTCTCCCATAGGACAGGGGTTGCCAGGTTCTGCTGACATAATAATGAGTGTATCAGGATATATTCATTAATGAGAGCAGATAATCAAATTTAAATGATAAATTGACTTGTAATCTCTTTAAATGATAAGGTAGCTTGCAATCTCTTATACTGGGATTAAGAATGAAGAATTTGAGGATCTTTTCAAACTTTCCTTGGGCTTTATGTTACAGATAGCATTTATAAAGGAGTAGTATCATGTCACTTTAGCTAAGTTGAAATTGCATTTTTCCAAATTTCATTCCCTGCATAAGTTTCTAGTTAGCACAAGTCACTAGAGTCAGTCTGAATGAAATTTGGAAGATAGACATGAAAAAGTGGCCAAATTATGTCTATACTTGGAATGTTGGAAAGGGGGAACCTGGTGTTTTTGCAATTCACACATCTTGTCAACTTATTTTCAGACAAATCATTTTGGCATAGAGGCAAGGATAGGGCATCAGCTGTTCTGCTACACTTTAGATCATCAAAAGTCTCTGAGTCCTAAAATAGATGAATGCTTATCTCCTTGATGAAGGCCACTCATATCAAATGAACTTGGAATCAATGAGAGACCAAAAGGAAATCCAGTCCAGCTTCATATGCTTCCAGCTTGTGCCTGTTCCTTCTTCACATTCATCCTTTACTCAACTCTACCTTATAAAGTGATTGTATGTTTGTTTGTGTATATGTTTGTATATGTAAGTAAGGCATACATGTGTATATATCTTGTACATACATTACAAAAACCAGGAGTGGAGTTGTGGCTAG